AACTCAGTGGAATGTCTCTACCCAAATAACAACAATGTCAAGGCAAAGCTATGGATAGAAAGTGTTGTACAAAGATTCAGATATATGGGCAAGCACTAGTTTGTCACTCACAGAGAAATAATAACCAGTTGGATTTATTCTGTGATAAACTAATCTGTCATGTGCCGTTCTCTTAGAGTGATTAACAATAAATAACTGTGGAAGTACAGAGAAACCTGCTCGTAGACTATTCAGTAAACATAACTAGCCATAACCTAACTCAAAAGAGGAGACGGACCAGAGAATCGTAACGTACCGCGCTGTCGCGCGCGGCGCACCTTCTGGCGATGAGCGCGCGGGGTTTTCAGAGCGGGCGCGGGAAATCCAAACTGTCCGTCAGTTTCTCGATTAGAGCAAATGATGGTAACCGCTGCATATTTTTTTCTCTTCAGCACTTTAATAGTCATCATGCGGTCGCGCCAAAATTCGAGAAAACTCGTCACTTGCGGCGCGGCGTCGGCGAATCACGATTCTCTTGTCACATACTCACACAAAGGTACATTCAACGATGGTTCAGTCGTGCACTTCATATTTCGGCGTCGAAGGAGATGTGTCCAAAAACTTGGTATGAACGCAGACAGCAAAAATAATTTGATGCACGTCTAACGTTTCTCTGCCTGTACGTGCAATTATCTAGCTAGACTGTGCTCATAGCCAACGCCGTGGATCCTTCTCTCCAACGCCAAGGTATGAACTGCATGTTGTGGTGCCGAAGGACGAGTAGCAGTGCGCAAAGTGGTCCGTCAGTGATCCAAATTCCAAAAACTATCACTAAAAACCAGCAGAAAAAGAAAGTTCCACCTCCCCAGGTAGAGAGACGAATGAGAAAAATGGAAAGAACTTTATGTTCACACGGATGTTCGCGTGTTGATATCACATGAAATGGAGCTATTTTACCTTTCATCGTCTTTCACCTTAGAGTAGTCTACCGTGAGTTCAGATTACCACAGCAGTGCTTTCATTAGGAAACGCAATCATCAATATTCGAGACTTAAACAGCGTCATTACTAGCCAGAATGCAAATAACACCTTCGCTTTCACCCCAGCATTTTTTCCGTCGCTATTCTGCATTAACTGGTCGCTTGCCTGTAAGACGAAAGTCTTCGTTGATTGTGCCTCTGACCGGGGGCAGTTCACAGGTCATTCTAGCCATTTGCAATGAATTGCACACCTAAATACGCGACTTGAGACGGTGAACTAAATTGTCCCCTCAATGATGCGAAACTGCTCTCTGAACGGAGTTTTGGGGTTTTTCCTCTGTTCATTCTTAAAGGGTTACAGGCGCCGAAGCGCCCGCGCCTGTAGCGCGTGACATGACCACTTTTCGCGCAGGACCGATGTGGCATTCGTATCCAGGAAGCTAAACAACTCCTAGGGACAACGACACTCTAGCAACATCTGAAATTCAGCTAGTCTATCACCGACGGCCGGTCTCCAAACTGAATTAACTCTTTCGTCGCGCCTTTTGCAGAGGCAGTATCACACTCAGGTGCTGTCATCATCTCCAGCATACTCCTGATAAAAGAAGAAATTCCAGCCTGAAGATTATTGTCGATGGTAGGTGAGTTACAGCCTTATGCTGTCCAACCATAACATAGCACACGTTTTCTTCGAAGTTGAGTCAAAATCTCAGACTAGGCGAAAGACCTAATCGCAGGAGTATTTCAACTCGCTGAACACCCGTTCAGTGCGAAAACCCTCGTGAGATGTTTTACGAGGGGGACAAGTACAGGCAGTCTTTTGACCATATAGGTTCCATAATGCTGAAAAAAAACTGTGCAGGCTTCTTTCAGGCAACCAAAGGCAAGCAGGGATGTTGGAAGTTTTGTTGGCTATGATCCTGAAAAATGCGAAAAAGTGGGGCACACAAAACTTGATCCAACCAACTCTCACACATCTCCCGCTCACTACCGGTTGCGCTCCACAGCTTCGTCACATTGTCCTTCCCTCATTTATGCAAGGCTTACCTCACGCTTTCATGCGATAGCGTTAACAACAACCCAGGAAGGAAACTCTCCCTTACTCCGTTCATAGAATCGTTTCGCAAATTCCGAAGGGGATTGAGCTCAGCGTCCCAAGACGCGTAAGTCAGTGTGTGTCACATTGCAAACGGACTGACTTGTTGACCTTCACTGGTAAGTAATTTTTTGAGCTGGAATGCGGACGTGCTCTTCTACTATTGCGGCGTACGCACTCCATTCATCACAGGTAGTGGGTGCGCTTCAGTGTTGAAAACCCATCGATCCAACGGTATTTTGTCACTGAACGTCAAATAGGCGTATTTTAGTGTCTCGGCCAGGAAGAAGGACTGCTGCACATTGTCGTAACCCTAAAAAACGATTGATATGTATTGGCGAAGTAATTAGATGGCTCCGAATGTCACAAGAGGATCCACGATTTTCTGGAGTCATGCCAATAGTTAGACGTACTCAAGGAACGCACCTGCTCAGGATGATAAACGTTCTGCAATCCCGCAAATCCTCCATCTACTCTGCAATATTTGTCAATAGCTTGAACTGCGTCCCATACCCAATCGCGGTACATCTGTAAAGATCGAAGCAGTTGT